CAAAAAGTCATTTTTCTGGGAGATCGGAGCAGCGCACTGTTCAAGACCAGAGTCAAAGCCAAGCGGGATTAAAGAAATCCCTCATTGTTTTTGGCGATTTTCTTCTTTAAGTTTTGTAATGTTTTGTGATATGGTTTTCATCTAAGTAATTGCCAACTTTTTCAACTGCTCTGACCAATGTTACAACCCCGATGATCAGCGTGCTGGCAGTACTGAAGCTCGGTAGGTCTTCGGGATATTCTGATTCAATGATTTCCCGATAGAAGCACTTTGCGCGACTTTAGTCGATTCAGGATGGCACTAATGTGTATGCTTGTTAAGTATCACCACCAAGCCTCAAACGCTGCCATTCCTAGACAGTGTTGAGTTAATTTGCCGACTAGGAGTTATTGAATAACTGAATGTGAAATACAGTCAATAATAAATTTACGAATTGGGCCGACTGTTAAAAACTATTGTGATGGTTTAATCCTGAAAGTAGGTGGAACGGAAGTAACTGCGTGACTGAGACTATTTCGAGGCAGCAAATATACAGGAAAAAAAAATTTAACCGCAGAAGAATATAAAGTTGCTATTTGGAAAAGCACGTTAGAAAATATTAGTTGTTTCTGCTAATATAGCGAAAAATTTGGGTATTCAGTAACATAAAGACGATTTTCCAAATCGATCAGTACAAAATTCTAATAAAAAATTCTCAACCTTCACTTTTTCGTATCTTTCGCCTCTTAAGTTGCATTGCAGTGTCATGCTGCTATGGCCCAGTTGGGGTACTGAGCTAGTACATTCACTTCTTAATGGGCCGAAGCGTCTTACTTCAGCATTTTCTTAACTCCCTCAGCTTTTTTTATTCTTTCTTCTTTTTCCACTCTGATGTTGAGACGTAACGCGCAATTATGAGCTCTGGTAACGGTGCGGACAATGAAACTTTGACAGAAAAAACGGAGAACTCTTGAAAAGAGGTTATGTGCCCCCATGCCCACTGCGCTCGGATGCGCACCGACTGCAAAACTAGGAGTAGTGCCTGCCTTATTAATCGTCATTTCGTGTGTGGAATTTTCTAAATTATCCATAGTGTTTCAGTATATCTATCAAGGCGAGGAATTGACGCAACAAAATATCGACCTGGAATTCGATTTAATCCGGATAAAATTTTACTGACACCAAAAAACCCGGTTATTCCGGGGTGCATCAAAATTAAAGCGCTTGGTGTGGAAATTGTGCGGCCAGTAAAGAATTTGGTTGCTGAAATAGAAATGCGAATTGGTGGTACGCCAGATCCAAATCATCCACCGTTGCCGTGCTCGAAAAAAGTAGACGAGAAAGTGAATCAGTGTCCGTGCGCGAAATTGGAGAACACTTGGTAAGCACAATGATATGAAAGAATTAAGATATCTTTGCACAAACGTTCAGTTCTCTTGCATTATTACATCAAACACAAAAAGCTCTTCAGTACTTTTCACCGCGTTCATCCATTAGCTCAAAGTGAGGGGCTCATCGCTGAAATGCAGAAATGCTTGGATTCTTTATGCGTTTTGCTATTTATTGGTAAAAACATACCTACTGCCTCTTCTCTCTCATTTACTACGCTGAAGAGTAAGCCCAGATATTGCATGGGATTTTCAATTATGAAAACCGGAGATTTTATTTCGAGAAGCGGTCAAAGTCTTTCAAGAAAGAATTTTTTTTTTCTTTTAATCGTGCTTTTCATCTGTCTGTAAACATGCAACAATAATGTTCTGATCAGGTGTATCTTCAAGCACAGTTCTTCAATTACACCTTCCCAGTCGCCTTTGACCACTGCTGAATAGTCTGTTGGTCAACCAATTCTCTACTAATGTTTACATAAACTTACCTTGCCGACAACATTGGATGTGGTGCACTAATTATTGTTACCCGCGATAAGATAAATTACACAAAAGCACTGATGTGGCGGTAGATACGAGTGGGAAGCATTCAGCCCCGAACATAGCTGCGCTCGAAAGTGGGATTATCTCAGTCGCTAACCCTGAATGTTTACAATGATTGCTCAAACTGTTTTGGTAAACTCCGATTAAAAAAAATGGCACCAGGAAATGTTCTCTTTCCCTGCGTATAAACGAAGATTTTGAAATGGGAGGGTGACACATGGGATGGGAATATTAAACCATATCCCAGCTTTCATGATTACTGAGTTGAAAATGGGTGACAAAGTTCATTCTCTTCCGAACACACACACATACAGACATGGACGCCTGTCGACAACATACATTTTTTATGCGTTTTTTGCAGCTATGCAATGCAGAAAGCGCACATTGACGAGAAGTGGTCTATGTTTGCGCAGGGCCTCTGTACCGATTTTTCATCTCGACACCGGCAAAAACTGCAGGGCTGAAACTTTGTGGTCTTAATCTACATGCACGTACGAGACCCTATCCCCAAAATGGGCGGTCTTGATCGCGTGGTACCCACGTAAGAGCCCGCCAAAGTTTCTTAGGGTAAGCTGCTAACTCACGAACCAGAAAAGGTAGAAAGCTGAAATTTTAAGGGTACGTTTTTCGTCCAAGTAGGTATTAATGGGCTCAGACCCAGCCCCCGGATATGCGTGGTACCCGCGTACGAGCCTGCCAAAGTTTTTTCAGAGTAAGTCCATAACTCGGGGATCTGAGATGCTAGAAAGCTGAAATCTTAAGGAGACATTCCCCGTCAAGCAGACATTAGTGGGCTCAGACCCAGCACCCAGGTAAGCGTGGTAACCGCATACGAGCCCGCCAAAGTTTCTCCGGGTAAGTTCATAACTCGAGGATTTGAGATGCTAGAAAGCTGAAACCTAAAGGGTATGTTCCTTGTTCAAGTGGGTATTAATGAGCTCAAACCCAACCTCCGGATACACGTGGTACCCACGTATGGGCCCGCCGAAATTATTTTCGGGTAAGCTGATAGCTCGAGAACCCGAAAAGCTGGAAGACTGTAATATTAAGGTGGATGTTGTTTGTCTACACTGGCCTCAACGAGGTCAAACCCAGCCCTCGTTCATGCTGATACCTACGCACGGGTTCACCGAAGTTTTTTCGGGTTAGTTGCTAACTCGAGAACCTGAAAAGCTAAAAGACTGTAGTTTTAAGAAGATCTTCTCAGTCCAAGCAAGTCCCAACGAGCTCAAACCCAGACATAGGGTACGCGTGGTACCCGCGTGCGGGCCCATGAAACTTTTTTCCAGTAAGTTGCTAACCCAGCAGCCAGGAAGCTAGAAAGCTGAAATTTTAAGCTAGTTCTGGCGGCCAGTCTTAATTTGTTTAGCTAGAAGCATTTGCCGAAAAAACCGATGCCGGT